TCCAACGGGGAGGAGATGCCCAACCACTTGGGCCATATAGGGTAACCTCGCAACCTTTTCAATCTACATTCATTTTTTTATCGCATCCATTTTGTCATCCGCATTGTCATAATTCTTCTTTTCTTGTTGGCCTGATTCTTGGCAGCAATCCTTAGCTTCCTTTTGGCATTTCGCATGGGATTGACGACAGCCATCAGCTTTTCTTCTTGTTTCCTCTTGTCCCTCTTTGCCTTGAGATTTTTCCTGATCTGGCTGTAAATATGTACAAAATTATTCATACCTATTCTGTCTCTAATACTCGCAAGAGCTTCTTGTGCCAGCTGCTTGACTTCATCTGAAAAAGCAAATTCACCAAACCAATACAATTGTCAAAATAAATTAGGCAGAAAATAATAAGATAAACCATAATTTCATAAAGTTCAGAAGAATCTCTCTCTCTCTCTCTCTCTCTGGTCTTTAAAATCGATGCTTTCTCTCCTATTTTCCAGTGGTGCTTGGGAGCATCCAGTTCTGATAAAATGATCAACCATTTCTTTGATCCAGCATTGTAAAACCTAACTTGAAGTCTAAAACTAACCACCAAGTCATAGTTGACTTTAGTTTGAAAAGTTGAAAATTTGTAGTAGTAGAAGAGCAGGGTGGAACATGCCTCTAGACACAAATAAAAAGCAACTAGGCACACACTGCATACAACTCACCTGAAATAACTTTCCCAGCATATCCTTCACAAACTTTGTACAATGGTAACAGTATTTGGTATGCAAACCCCTGGAAATCATCAGTTTGCGAGGAAATGTTTTCAGGGTAGATTATTTTGGTTGAGGTAGCCTTAAAAACATTAAACACAATTTTCATCTGCACATAGAGACAAATTCCTGTCAGCAATACAATTTTTCTACTAAATATTTTGGAAAAAATGCCAATTGGGTAGAGACAACACAAATTATAACAAATAAAAATATACTCAATAAGCTTAAGCAAACTCAAAGTAATTGTAAGATGCAGCATTAGCTAGCAGGCCCACCTGGACTGCCTCCATATGAAGGGCAATCTTTCCCATCCTTTTCAACAAGGAAGAGACAACCAAAATTTGGCAATACTTGCTATTTTTCTCATAGTTTTGACTATCACCAGCAGATGTCAGGGATGCAAACATACTTCTTCCTTTTCGTGAATCAAGCAATTGGAAAGCTTTAAGGAAACGATCTTGCTCCTCAGATTCAATGCTTGACCACAAATTACCAACATCAACCCATTTGTCCTTCCCTAATAAAGAATGCAAACCACATATTGCAAATGCAAGTTTTTTGCAACTAGTATGCTGAATTCATTGTCGATCAGTGTGGTCTTCAGTTGGCAGCAGAGAGAAGCAGCTATGAGAAAAAGTCTACTTGGTTTCATTAGCCAAAATGTTTCTAATGACTTGTCATTTTTTGCAAGGGCCTCCATTGCTGATGTGGAGTACAAGTCCATGAGACGGTTAGATACACCACGTAACCACATATGTGGGTGCAACAGAATCTCACTTATTGTTCCCCATATATCCTGAAAATTATAGGAATAAAAACCATAAAAATTGTCATAAATGGAGAATGTAGAATAACACCAATGAATAACAAAGAACTGAATGTCACAGTTATATAAATTATCCTTTTTATCATATGCACGATCCAACATGAGAAGGTTACCAAAATCAAAATGAAAGAGATGCCATATCAGAACAGTTTTTTGAACTAGCAGTTAGACAACATAGCATTAGAGTTTAGTTCTGGCTGGTTTTTATTTTGTTCTCAGAATTTTATTTTGTTCGGTTCCCCCAATATTTTGTATCTTATTTGCTTCCTGCAATATTCATAATATGCTCCCAGCTTGCCTATGCACCTTATTCCTTCCAACATGTTAGTCTGCCATTCCCCATGCATATAGTTCACATAAAAAAAAATAGCTCACACTAATACATTCACAAAAAGATATACTTCCCTTTGTCAATACTTAAAAGCTATAATGATTATTTTTTATAAAAAGAAAAAAGAATATTTAGGTCCACAATTTTATAAATAGAACCATACTACATACTAATGGCAAATTACATGGACAGTCTGCAAACTATTTGGACAGCCTTGATTTGATATCCTACAGTCAATTTTGCAATCAAGTCCTAGTCTAATGAAATTAAATCAATATCAAACCAGCCGAAGTCCTCATCAAGGACAACAAAGCAGCATCATTGTCCATGTCCTACTAGCGCGACTTGATGGCATGCTTGTATTTTTCCCTATGCTCAAAATTGAGCTTTATGATTTTTTGACCTTTTTCTCCCATTTTCACCCTAAACCCTCATAAGAAGGTAGATCTTTTATTGCTTGTTTTGGCAGGTCATAAGCCATGCGAGCACTAATGTGATTTTCCCGCATTTGTTTACACATCCATTTTCCCAAGTTCTAGCTCGGATGAATTGATTGAATTTGATTATTTTGGGGACTTGATTGCAGAACTCCAGGGGACCTAGTTGGAGGACCATCAGCAAAATTTACCCCATATAAGAATTTCTACATTTTGAGTCCTTATGGAATATTAACAAGTCAAATTGGGAAATTGGAATATAGACATCACTTGACTAACAAGAATTTTTTACATCTAGTTCGTTGCTACCTTGTACTAGCATTCCCAAAGTATTTCTCTGATTCCAATATAAGTCAATATTTATTAAAGGAGTGGCTTGCTCAAGGTAAGTAATTGACGAAAGCTTCATTGCCAACTCGATGAAAGGGGTGGATGATTAAGTCAGACCCCAAATTGGTGCAAGTAACAACATGCAATCCTTTTGATTGTAAAAGCAGCTATTCCACTCACCCTGTAATTCTACAACTATCGTTGACCACACTTTGGACCTTCAAAAAATATTTGACACCAAGAAAACTGCAAAGAGTGAAATCACGTGTCTAACACCATTGAATTAGTCAATGTTTATCAAAACAACAATGCAGTTGATAGGAGCTCAAGAAAAGCAATATGATAGGGTAGACTTGTGTTGATTATGCTATTAGAATTTACTGTACTTCTCTAGCAATTTCTGTAATAATCACATACTTAATAGAATATATCCCTTTTCTAGTTATCTTATGCCAATTTTTTTTGTTATTCAATCTTCTTCTTGTACAAGAACTTTATGCTGGTTTTGAGAGGTTGAACTTGCATGTGTGGGAAGGAAGGACAGTGGAGAGGGAAATAATTACCAAGAAAATAGAGTATGACAGTTTTTGCTATTTAAAATACAAAAAGGAAAATAAATGTAAATATGTCCAAAAAAAAAAAATTCCTGTTGACTTACCAGCAAAAATATATAAATACATGAGTGATTTGAAATGATTTTGGTTGCCAAGTTCACTGGTACAAAAATGGATGGGCACCATGTTGAAAACTGATATTCAACATGCTAGGGTACCAAGGAAGAGTACTCCAGACTGATTTGTTCATTGCAAGAAGTACATAACAAATCTTAATAAATCTATTGTCTTTGTTAAATTTTATTTTGCTGTTTTGGCAACAACCTAAACTAGGTCCCCTTTCCAAACAATTGATGGGTAGCTCTAGAAAGGCTTTAAAATGACAAATTACACTTGTTATAAACATTTGAACATAGATCTACTAAGACATGCACAAACGAAAAAGTACCCTGCATAATGACATAAATATGAAAAAAAGACCCATACCTCAAGATCCTTAGACAGGCAGAGGTCATGGAACTGATGCAATAACTTTTCCAACAAAAGTAGCGAGTAGTATGCTTCTTTCCAAAAGGGAACTGTTGCTTCAATAGAAATATCTAACTGTTCATTTGTAAGAACATTGACTGCAGAGCGGGTAATGCTTCTAATTGCTGGTAACACACTATTGAGATGTTTCTGAAAGCTTTTCCCCATTACTTCAACCAGTAAACCTAACACCTACACAAGGAAAATATTTTACAGCCACAAAACAGATAAGTAAAACCTATAGGAACAATTTCAAAATGAAGAAAGAAAGCAATCAAGCAGCCATCAAAAGAGAGTGCAAAACAAAATAATAAAATGCAACTGTCCTCCTCTTCATGAGTTTCTGTCATTAAATGCATGAGACAGATTGGGAGGATAAAGGGAAAGGACAAACTTAGATATCTAATCCTCCATTACATTCAAGGTTGTATTAAATCCTACTTTCTTTCCTTTTTGAATGTCTAACATTCAGAAAATACAGAACAAAAACGTATCCAGTGCTGAAAGATAAAACATTGTCCACTGCTTCTGCAAGTGTGTGTTTTCCTCCTTTTTATCCTTTTTTTTTTTGGGTGAAGGAGGGGAGGGGGGATGAATATGAATTCATCTAACCAATTTATATATACATATGTTTGGTGCAAATATTACATGAAGAAAAGGAATAGGTATGGCAACATGTGATGCATCTAATGCCTAAAGTATGCGGCGATAAAAGGGACAACCATAGCAAAACATTATGGCACACTTTGCATGGATAGTGAGGTGAAGATCCAATATGCTCATAGGTCACATGCAATGTTCTCGCATGCCTCAAAAGGATAACCATAGCAAGAACATTATGGCAAAGTCAAACTAGCCCCAAAGAAAAAACAAAAAAAGAAAAAGAAAAAAAAAGCTTATAAGAAACAATATAATTAGTATTGGATCTGAGTCATTTACTTGGGCTGCAGCACTCCATAAATTCTGTTTTCCACCCAAATACCAAGAGAGACTATACTCGAGAATGGAATGAAGTGAATGTGGGCTCACATGCCCAATCAGAAGTTTTATAGCAGCACCAGACATGGATCGGACTTGGTTATCATGATCATTAGCCAAACAAACCACCAAGTGCACAAATATGGTCTGTGAATTATCATCTATAATTGACTTAGGAAACTTCATTATTATTGCATGAAGCATTTCAAGCACAGCTTCTCTCCCCGTTGCATGTTCATACCTACAAGAATGTTAGTTTACTGTAAATTAAAAATGCTTAGATGTGAATATCAACATCAATAAAGAAAACATCACTTGCCTCAGATTTGAAAGCAAGAAATCAAAATGTTGCCGCAAACGTTTCTCCGAAAGATGGTAATCAAGTAAGAATTGCAATAGAATTTGACTACATTTCTTCCGAATGGGTTCCACTTGACTTGTTACCATCACTTCGGCAACCTGATTGATGAGATCATATATCTCATGTACTACAAGCTTACGGTTGACTATTGCCTTCAAAACTGACAGAGCTAGAAATGAGGGATTTCTTTCAAGATCAATAAACATAGGAAACTGGATCACCATGTGCAATTGCTCTGTGGAAAGTGTAACCCTAGTGTTCCGGAGAAGCACTGTTAACAACTTCAGACATGATTGCATCAAAGGGCTGGTGGTATTTACAGCTCCTTGAGCAATAACCAACAGAGATGTCTTAATATTGTCAGCTTGTGATTCAAGAGATGGCAAAGGCATCCTAACCAGCTGACTAAGACACCTGATTGCTGCAGATATGATATCCTCATACTTGGAAGTCAAGCACTTCGTGAGCAATGTGACAAAAGGATCTAACATTGACAACAGGTGTTCATCCTTTTTGTGAAGTTTGGTATTCTTCATTGAATTGTGCAACAACCCAAGGCCAAATACTGTAAGAAGATAAGAAGACTGTGACATGGACCCAATTATCCTGTCTGATGTAATAATTTTGCCATTAACTTCATCTCCAGATTGCATGTTTGCATTCACAAAAGTGGAACTTCTATCTGAACAAGATTCATATGTGACACCATCATCGACAAGGCCATACAAAAAGACAAAGAGGTCAGTCTGATTTACAGATGGATTGCCCTCGATACCAGAAGCTATGTGGTTCAACATAATTTCCAATTTTGATTTCAATTTTGGGCTTAGATGCTTCTGCAAGTGACTTGTAACTGGTGAAAGTAACTTCAAGGAAAACGTTTTGAATGTGATGTTTTGAGCAATTAACTTGAGGGTTTCAAATGACTTCAGTCTTCTAGTCTCTTTCATTTTCGAAGCAATCTTTTCCACTTCCTTTTCCTCTGAAACATCTCCAAGAATATCATTCTCCACCACAGAAAGCAGGTCATCCAAACAATAATCCAACTTTCCACTAATGGATTTGCAAGAAATTTTGACAAAATAAAATTAAGAGTATATCCCAATACATGCAACTCAAATCCTCGTTTCAAAATGGCTTTCAAGGCTTTGACAATGAACTGCAAGTATTCCAATCCTAGCTCCTTCAGACAGGCAGCCAAAGCAGCCCTGGCTTCATCACGAATTCTTTCCACACGATTTTTAAGAAAGCTTGATATGCGATGGATAATACTAGGAAGCTGCAATTCCATCACATCCTTAGGAAGCAACTTTAGTAGTTTAAGTGCAACAAGACTGACGTTAATATTGACATTATCAGAATTGGATGCCAACAACTTTTGTATCTTAGGTAGCACTGTTTTATGTAGACGACTCTGTATCTCCAAAATATTATCAGAACCCGTAGAAGTGTTCAACACTGTTAAAGTACCTATTTCAACACTTCCAGCTTCTGATTGGTTAACAGAACCATACGCTTCTTTAGCAGAATTTTCCATAAAATGGAAGTGGTCAAGAACCATGCAGACTAAGCGCAGTAAGACCTTCTGGTTGTCTGATTTAAAGGTCATCTCTCGAAGGCACCTCATTAGAAAAGCGTAGTATGATTTCCATTCCATGTTACCAGAAATAGATGCAAGGGCCTCTAAACAAGCACTTCTCACATTTTCAGCCTTTCCGTCTTGAACATCAAATAACATGTTGAAGAAGAATGGAACAAATACTTCATTTGCAATAACCTGAAAATTCATGCCATCATTATGTAAAATTGTTTACTGAGACTACTTTTTTTTTTTTTTTTTTTGGTGTTGGGGGGAGGGTGTTGGGAGAATTACCTCTGACATATTGCCCGAAATGACGAAGTGCCTAAAGCGTGTTAAGGCCCTTGCTTTCCTATGCCTCTGTAAAACCATATATGAAGATATAAAGAAAATAATAAATTACCACGGGTGCAAAAAACTCTCATATGCTTCTTGGACAAAGAGAATAGTATCAATGAAACATATTCTTAAATAATTTTAGGAAAAACATGGTAATGTAAGTCAGTTACTAAAAAAATTTGACAAGCCTGCTATTGTATCAGATAAGAAAGTATTTGTATAATCTTCTTTGAGGAAAATGTTTTAAGTAGAAGTGAAATGAAAAGATCATGGTAGAAACCAACTTTAACAAATAGGTCCAACAATTTCAACATGCAAAGAGTGAGGAAAAACCAACTTCTTTTTCAACATATTGACCATATGAAAGTTAGAACGATGCATGCCACAACTCAATTGTGGTAACAAATATCATTCTAGAAGTGAACAAAAGCCATCATCCATATCAAAGTACAAACTGTTCATTCACATACAGGAATGCAAAGAATTTACCTGCAAATGGACAATATTGTTAAAGAAATCTTGCTCTGCATCTTCTGACCAGAGAGTCCTCAATGATTTAAGACTTGTCACCTTTGAAAGTTTCAACACCATGTCTCGTAGCAAATCAATCCACATCTGAAACCATAACCATCCAAAATGAACACTGCCTGACATTATCATGAAAATATAAAGATTTCATTTTCAAAACCACCAAATTGCTTTATATTTACTTCATATATGCTATGTCCTATGTCTAACCCAAAACTTCTGTTTTCCCAGAATCTGTACTACATTATAATACATACTAAGCAAAAAATTTAGAAAAAAACAAAGGATAGTCGCACCTTTTTGTTTTCTCAAATGTTCTACTGATTGATAGTCACACCCACTTATTTGACACTATACTTCAACTCTTCTAAATATACAGCTCAAAAGAAGGATATTTCATTATAAACTCTAGTTTATGCAAAACAAAATGCTAGATAAGGACACTATTTATTCCCTGCCTCCCCCATCCCGAACAAAAAACAATAAATGAATAAATAAAATTGGACCTCAGACTCTGAGTAAAAGTTATGCTTAGGTGTGTAAAAAAAAAAATTAAAAAAAAAAAAAAAACCTACTACACAAGAAGCAGGCATTGTTTCCTTGCATCCATGCATTCTAACTTTTGAATCCATTAAGTGTTATACAAACACCTACAGTTATCTTAAAAAATTATTGCTCCAAATTAAGGGGCAAAGGGAGGAAAAAACAGGAGAATTGGTAAAATCAATCCAAGTAGAAGAATGCAGTTTTCAGTCAGTACCTTTTGAACAGGAGCTTCTCTGCTCATTGCATGTCCCATATGCTTAAGTAGGAATTTGTTAACTACCCGTTGAATGCATGCATCAGACCAAATCTGGTCCTCAGAATTCACTTCTTGATCAAGAATTTCAGCAGAAAATTCAACAAATGATAACAATAATCTATATCCACTTTGCCTCAAAATCAGTTCTTCGGATGACATATCATGCACAGCATGAGACAATAAAACTAGTGCAGGTTTCTCTGCAACATTGTAAAAGAAGTCTTTATCAATCTTTTCATAAGCATTAATAATAGTGTCATAGTCAGGACCACCCATCTCCAATGCAGAAACTGCATTCAGTTCACGAACAAGTTGTGCCTGCATCCCAGTAAAACATATATATAATTACAAATTGAGTTATCAAAAGAATTCCTCCATCAACAAGCATTTGAAAGAAAATATACATGACTACATTACCACAGAAAATATAGAAGAATCACTCATGGCAAGAGCATCAAGAAGGTCTAAAACAGCCATCCGTGTATCAATACCAGCAGAAATAAGAAGTAGAGAAACAGCATTCAAAATTTCATTTGCAGTCTCGCATCCTAATAATGGTACTAGGCGTTGCACAACCAACAAAGCTTCAACACTTGCATCTGCAAAAATAAAATTGTATAATCATAATAATAAGTGACATTAAGTTTTCATTTATTAAAAGAAAGCTTGACAAAGCTAAAAATCACATAGCAAATGTTGAAATCAATATGAAATACCAACCAGAATCTGGTGCTGCCTTTGTTAGTAAAGGGAGTACAACATCAACTAGTTTATTTGCTGCCAAAGGATTGTTTATGTAACCAGATAACAACTTGAAAATTCTTAGCTCTCTTTCCCCAGTACATTTCACCAATTTCCTAATTGCAACAAATCAGCAACTCAAAGACTGTTAATTCAAATAGTTGTCAACTTCACGAATATAACCAAACAAGCACATCATGAAAGAAAAGACAAGAAAAAATATGCATTCAGGCTACGCATAGGCACACGTCTTTGTGTGTGTGTGAGTGAAAGTGTGTGTGTGTGTATAGATATATATATATATATATATATATAGAGAGAGAGAGAGAGAGAGTAGAATTATGCAATAAAGTAATCTAAGGAACCAAGATATATGCTCATTTTGATCTTTTTCGAACAAAACATTCACTCAAGAAACACTTGCAAAACCACTTCAAAAGGTACGCAATTAAACACAATAACCAGAATAAGGTTACAGAATTCATGCAGAACAAAGTGGCATTTTGGTGACTCATAGAATATGATACATAAATGACACATGACACTGATGACAACCTAGTCAGTGAAACCAGTAGCAGCATTGTTTACTAATATGTCCAATCAAGCTCACAAAAAAGTATCCTATTACTTTCTGCAAGCAATCCAAGTCAATGATAATACATGTCACATAATGAAAGGTAAAGATGTAAGCATATCACAGGCATGACTCATACCTTTTCATTGCATTATTGCACTTGAAAAGATAGTGCAAGCTGCAGACAAGTGTGTCAAGGTGAGGAACTAATAGTCCCTTGACATCATTATCTTCGTGGTGGGGTTCACTATTAAGATTCAACAGGTTCTCAACAAAATTCAGAACACAAGATAAAATGGCTTCAGATGCGGTTGGAACAGTTAGAATAGAAAAAATATCAGGCACAAGGTTCTTCTCTCTGAACAGCAACTCTACAAGCTTGGAGCTCCTGCTCATAGCAAGAAAGCAAGAAAACAATGAACTTGGTTTTTCGCTGCTAGCACCTTCTTGCTTGAAACCACATACCAAAGGCTTCACTGAAGTAAAGAACAGATCCCAGAATTCAAAACCAAACTCATAGGCCTCATATTTATTTAAAACCAACGAAATGATTCTCAAGCACAAAGATCTCTGCTCCTTAAACTGCTTTGTTGCTGTGCTACTCTGCATGCAGTTGGAAATTACATTAGGAAAACAACATCATTTTTTTTTTTTTGTTCCAATTGTCAAAAAAAATCTACCATGATTCAGAGACTACATGCATATTTAAATTCATATTCTAGGTAGTTAAGAATTTTGTTATCCCGCGTAGGCAGAAATTCAAAATATATTACAGTGAGCAGGGCATCCAAACCATTGAACCAACTTCAAATGATCAGAAAGCAAGACCAACCTTGTGAACATACCAGAAGTAGTGAGAAAAAAGATGTTGGGAAGGGGCATCAGCAGGGCAGAAACAGCACTTGGGTAGGAGGGAGGGGGAAGGTGGAGTGGTCACTTCATATTCTTTAGTTTTCCAAATCAACATAATTTCAATGCATTCAAGCAGTTTCAACATGATATAACACAACATAAATGTTTCAACAAGATATAACACAAAACATAAACATTACCACAATCTGATTTTCTGCTCCAGTGACTTTCTCATGCAAGCTAGAACACTTCTCCAGTGAAGAAAATCCACTTATCTTCACACTATCAAGAATAAATGTGCAGCTCTCCAGTATGCGGGCAGTGCACCCCATTAAGAGATCAAGGTACGGTTTAACATGTAATTCATCAAATACTCCAAGAATATCTTCAGTTACATGCAAAAAGGCATATCGCTTCTTCCAGGAAAGCTTCAAAATTTTATCCATGGTGAAATACTTCAAAACACTAGAAGTTTCGAACTCATCTGCAAGATGTTCAGATGAACTCCAAAACCATTTACTTATGTCATGATTCTCTAGAGAAATGCAAAGCAATGGCTTTATTAACAAGGCAAAGAAAAGAGGGAGTTCATTGGCATCAAGTTGAGCTAGGAATCCAAGAACCGCCCTTCGATGATGTAGGCTTTTATGCTGGAAGAAATTTAAAAGAAATAAAAGGATCAGCTACATTATGTGGAACAAGATTGAAAACAAAAAAATAGAAGGACAAAACTTGTTGAAAATGGTAGCAATTAGGCTATCAAGTCCGAAGAATACATATACCTTTCGAGATGCCAATGTTTTAAGTTTCCGAACTTTTGGCGCCAGAATTCTCATAATTAAAGGCAGAATATGAGTCCTATGATGTTCTTCAATAAGATGAGATTCTTTGGATAAGCTCCATGATGTTAGTTCCTCCCTTAAATTCTTTGGATTGATCAGATTTTTCAGATGTTCGGCATACGGGAGTAGGAAATCATCTTTCCAGTTCAGCAGGCAATCAACGACCTTCATCTGCATCTCAGTGTCATTTTCATCAAGAAGCCTGGAAAAACCACCCAAAAATGAATTTCAGCACATAATCATGGAACAACTGATAAGCCAGTTCTTCCTTTTTTGATTGAAATCCAATATTTGAAAATAAAGGTTATATTTACTTATATATCCTCCCCCTAGCAATACAAACCCAGCCCTGCCACAGATGTATATATTTGTGTGTATGTGTCTGCGGATATGACGAGGTTATGGAATATGAATTCATCTTCATCATCTTTGAACAACTTCAGGTTAGAAATTTGAGAATTTTTTTCCTAATTACTTCGATAGACAGGAGATAGAAATACCATAACCATTCTGACCAAATTTTACTTGATTTCAAGTGCATCATTGTTAATATCTTGTAATTACTGCACAAGGATCTATCTAAATATTAGATACATGCAGATGTACAAAAGGCCAACTTTCAGATAAATCCAATAATGTAGGGTGTCAAGTCGAACTTCTATGCAAACAGCCCAATGCTTCAAAATTAGTCCATGTGATGGAGTAGTAAAATGCATAAAACAAAAAAAATTAATTACCTATATTGTAGAACTTCCTTAAGAAATTGACTCCTGTAGAAGGACCTGAAATTTCGCATCAATTTCAACAAATTTAACCACTCTTTAAGGACAGTCTTCCATTCCTTCCCTTTACAAGTCTGCAAATCGAATGATTCCACACTGCATTTTTCAATTCAGAAAGCAGCCCAAATTTAAGCAGAAGGCAAGATGAGAAAACAAGCACAAGTTCAGCTATTACAATATACACATAGTTGCATATAACCAAATAAATAAATAAATAATTACCTGATGCATATAACCAAATAAATAAATAAATAATTACCTGACCACATCATTGATATTGTAACCCATAAACTTCAAGAACAGAGGTACAATTTGCCATGAACGTGACTCTATGACATTTGGAACCTTTTGCAAGGATTGAATCAACAAAGACAAAACTGTCGCACATGGGGTGGTATCACAAGCAGGGGAAATGAAAGAATTGAAACTATTGACCAAATCTGAAAAGCAAAACCACAGAAAAGTTAGATTCAAGATTTGAGTTGCACAGAAAACCAACAATCAAACAGCAATTTGAAGTTGAGAATCATTTATATTGGATAACATTTAAACATATTCAGTTCTAACAGTTTGAATTATGGATAACATTTAGACACAAAAATATCTCATCTCAATAATATAAATACATACATATATATATATGTATGTACATATATATATATATATATATATATAAATTTGCTAGCAGTTTTGAATTGTGATTGTGCACTACACAACCACCTGAATCAAAGTATATATTAAAACTATTCATATAAGCAAATTCAACAGAATTATGAGAAGAGATGACACATACCACTGCAACTGCAAGTAGATGTACTTCTGCTGTCATCAGATTGATCATGAGATGCTAGAAAACTAGATTCACATTGGTTCAGATACTGAATAAATACATCCCATACTATTTGAAAATACTTGCTGATTAGAACTGCAAGGCACTCCATGGCTGGGTTCCATAGATAGCTAAACCGGTTATGGAAGATGCCAATTATCCCATATAAAACAGAGGGCAAATATGCTCTAGGTATCCTTGCAGCTGAGAGGTCCATCTGTATTCTTGAAATCAAAAGGATAACTTTCCTGCTGGTTGTAACTGAAAGGGGTGTTTCCTCAATTGAAAGTAGAAGCTGAATAACCTAATAGTTGGAAGAAAAGGAACATCAAATTCACTACTCAGAAATTGTGAAAAACAGGAATAGGAGAGTTAAAACAACTACACACATTACTGCTCTGGGTGTCAGCAAAGAAGGATTGAGAAACTTCAGTTCTCATTTTTTTCTCAGCAGGCTGGTCATATGGAGCAATGTCACAATCCATAGATTCATAATGACAAAGTATTCTTAATGTGGAAAGACGGATCAGTTTATCTGAGTGGCATAAATTTTCAGCAAATATGCCCAATGATTCTATAGCCTTCTCCACTTTAAGCTCTGGAAGTATCAAAAAGTTGTCTTTTTCCTCTTGAAATGTAAATCTGCATCCACATAATAAGCAAAAGGTTAAAGAATCATTCAGTTTCTTTGAGATGAATAAATATCCAATCATGATTAAGTTTTGGCAAAAGACACTACAAGTTGCAAAAAGTAGTCAATTATTGAGATAAAACCAGCTTACCCATGTACAGAATCCAAAAAATCAGCTACAGCCAACAATATATGCACTGATAACTTGTGTCTCGTAGCAAGTTGCAAAAATTTGCTTGCTACTTCATCTCTGATGTTATTTGAACACAATTTGTTATAGGAACTCAAAGCAGCACCAATTAGGCTTTGCCAAGTATGCTTATGGAACCCTGCAATATAGTCTGGAAAAAATTGCAAGAATCACCATGTAGAAACTAGGAACATCAAGAAACTACTACAAGCATAGTGAAGATACTAAAATTTAAGGATTTATAATTAAACTGATTTTTTAAGCAAAAAATGATTAACTATTTGATTTCATCAAATCCTTTCAAGGGGATTCTGGTACAGAGTTCTTCTAACTCTTAGGTGTGTAATGTCTCAGTGAAAAATATTGTACTCAAGTCTCAAGAAATATGCATCCAATTCTCCAAAAGTAAATAATGTTTCAGTGAAAGATATAGCTTGCTTTACCAGATTCAATAGCTAATAGCTGATCAATTGCATCTATAAGATCAATCAACAAGGTCATGTTTTGATTGATGTCTTCCATGAAAGGATAACAGCGAATAGCTCCCCATAGAAAAGCCAATTTATTCTCATGAAATTGAATGCACAATGAATCACCACTTGCATTTTGATTGATGATTCTGATCCAGTAGCTAATAGAATCCTGCATGTAACTATAAATCTTGGAAACATCTTCCTTGTATGTACCACCAAGAAAACTAGAGCTTTGAACTTGAACTTGAAGTGTCTCACAGCAGATAAGGAGCAAAAACATGACTTCTTCCTCTGATGTTTCAATTAAATAATTTAATGCCCTGAAATAAAATTGCAATAGCCAAAAGGAAAAAAAAAAAAAAAAAGGCCAATAAGTACCAGAACAGAAAACTGACATCAGCATTCCAAACTTTGATGATGGTAATCTAAATATTACCGTACAACATTCTTTCTGAAGGCAAAGACTATGTCAGGGTCCTTCTTTAGCAAGTTTTTGATAAAATTCAGCAAACTGCAACCCCCGGTCATGTATATGTCAATAACATATCAAAAATAACAGTAAAGAAAAAAAGGGATGAAAGGAGCTATTTCAAAGAAAGCAAACCCTGAATTCCTCAATTCAAATACAGGAGCCCATTGGATAGCAACACAAGAAATAGCCGACTGGTTATCAGCTAAGTGGAGTCCATCAAGAATGCAAAGCATTATTTCCAGAAGCTTATCAACGACTTCAGAAGATTGGTCATCTGTTTCATGCACTCCTGAAGGCAAAAACTTCTGCATAAGCACCCCAACCAGTTCAAGAATCGGGTCATAGTCTGCACATCATATAAACAATGGCATGTCAGTCTCATATACACAGTAAAGCTCATGCAACAGAATTAAAGACTTCGTAAGTAAATCAACGGAATCAACCAATCAAAAAGAACTTATACTCCACCTGTAATTTTCCTGACATAATCAATTTGAACAGTAGAAATAAGCAGGGATAAAAGGTGATTAAGATGCAACAAAGATCCATTTGATACAGCTTCAGATAATTCTTCATATAAAGAATCCCACATCAAAGTCAACTCCACAGCCTCAAGCTCCTCACATAACCTTTGAAAAGCAATAGATACAACTTCAACTACAGCATCAGAGCCTGAGAGAGAGAGAAGAGGGGGGGGGGGCACTTAGAACAAGCATGTAAACTTTTGGCCAAAACCTGAAATTTTCCTAAAAGCTAGACTGAGAAAGAGAATCCAACAAACACTTTGCTCAAATGTCAATTCACACTGTTCAAGGGTGCAAAATCACATATAATGATCTAAAATATAGCAAATCCATAATGAGCATCAGCTGAAGATATTCTGATCATGCAGTTACTAACTTCTACACAGTTTTAGCTTTAGACTCACAATTTTATTCAACTACATTTATCTAGTAGCAGGAGATGCTAAAGACTCAGATACTTTGAAGCACAGATAGTTCTTGAAGCCTTAAGTCCCCATGTCCAGATCTACCTGACACCAGTATGCTGGGACACAACTGGACAGGTGTTGGATACTTGTCTAGCCAATTCCCATTTTTTTGTTTCACTTCTATCCACTAGACACACTGATGATACTCACAAGACAAGACAAAGGTGATGGTCTAATTGTTTAGAGGTATTCGCAAGGGGGCCAATTTTGTGTTTTCAAGGAGAATGGTTTGCCATATGTTCTAAATCCAAGTAGAAAGTGGATGAGATGCTTGCAATTGGAGTCTAATTAAATACCCTTTTCTTGAATCTCTGTCTTAGTTCTAATATTTTACAATATTTTTGAAATTTATGTCAGATGCATGGCTAATTTAAAATGTATAAAAAATAACTTGCTGCCATGTCCCATTCTGTGGTGTCCTATATTTTTTTCTTAAAAAATGCCGTTTCCATGGGTCTATATGGTGCCTGATACAACACACGTCAGTATGGATCCCCATGTTTGTGCCTCTTAGGATATTTTGGTAGATAACAAATACACATTACTATTTTAAATCACTTTCAATTTGAAAATATATAAGATACATTGAGATGTTAAATTTTCCAGTTTTCAAGGAAGTTCTCAAAAACAAAAATGAAAAAACTACTAGAAGATAAGGTATCTAATGGTGAAAAGTACAAGAAGTATGTAAATGAAATATAAACTGGCAATACATTAAAAAAAAGGCACTTGCCCTGGCCAAATTTATCACCGGCATTAAGTATTGAATTGTCCACAAGTAACCGTAAGAGTTGTTCAGCTCTTGAATGCAGCTTTGATGAAGTTCCTCTCATAACATACCACAGTAAAGAACTGACACCAGATTTTCTGAACACCAGTGGTTTCTTGGCAACTTCAACCATGACTTTTCTAATACCTGTTTAATTCAGAGAATATTATATGATGTTGGTTGATATAAAGTACAAATTTCAATCACAAAGGAATATATAAACCCATCTTCGTTGCTCAATAAGAAGCTAAAAGAACTTCTATGTCTTGGGAGAAGGGGGGGGGGGTGTTAGAGAGCGAAAAGGAGAGAACTCTTGAATAGGGTCAGATACAAAAATGACGCTACAGCAAGTGGACTGATTGTCTAAATCAACCCAGGACTTCACAACAGATCTGCCAAAGAAATATGTGTCTAGCAACAAGTAAAATAATATAAAAATGGACCACAGCCTCAGCCACATCTGATATGTAATTAAGAGGGATGGATGGAAGGGGATCCAGGGGAACATTGCCCCCCAAGATTTTCAAAATATATATACACATTAGAAGGGATACATCTCTAATTATTTGGCCCCAAAAAATTAAAAAAAAAATTATTGGAACAAAGTTAGTATGAAGAGATTTGAAGCTTCCCCGTTTTATAGTTGAAATGGAGGGTTCATTTGAAATGTAGATAGAAAATTCAAATTATCCCACTAAAAATATTAATATTCTGTACGTAAAACTGATTTCAGGACTGATAATGTATGAAAAGATTATAGGCTGAAATTATAAAAGTATCCTTTCCAAAGTTAAAAGAGAGAGCATGTACATCCTTATATATGTGTATTCTTGTTTTAGCTTTCCAGAATGGTTCCACTATTAAAGTATCAAGAACTTAAGAAAACAAAATAGATACTAGTTTTGTAAAATAATAATAATAATAATAATAACAACAACAACAATAACAATAACAATAACAATAACAAATAAATAAATAAATAAATTAGGAGATTGTTTGAACACAAGTAATCACTTACTAAACACGTTTAGATATTTCAAAATCAAGTGTGTTTGATGATGTCCCACACCCAATCACTTAAAGCTAAAAATTGGTTGAAATAAAGGGTTTGAATTTTTAGCCAAACAGATTTGACTTAATGTTGAGTGCTGAATGCGAGTAATAATAGCTAGTTTCATTTCCAGTATAAAGGGCTTGATTTTTTAGCCACACAGATTTGACTCAATGTTGAGTGCTGAAAGCGAGTAATAATAGCTAGTTTCATTTCCAGTTTTAGTTATTGCACATAACTTAAATTTTTAAAATATGAAATTTAATACTACTTAACTATTTTAGTACCAATAATTTCAATGCTTAAAATTTTCAATACTTGAGTAAATGCATAGCTCAATTTGTAGGAGCAATTAAAAACTCAAGCTTTAAAACTCTAGCACACCTTCATTCCCATGTAATTAGGAAGAAAAAATGAATACTTGAGATTCTTACATTCAACTAGTGATTTAATTTGTTCTCTACATATTTATTATCTAATTTTATAATCAAAAAATGCTTAATTGAACTATGTTAGCTTTATTATCTAACTCAATATGACAACTAGTTATTTAATCTTCTATATTTATTTGGTACAGAACCTATAGAAAAAAAAATTAGCCCCAAAGGCAAAAAAAAAAAATTGAACCATAGATCTATCCCTGTGGATTAACATGTGTCACACATGTTACATGCCTAACACAAGCAAAACAAGCATATGCCCCCCAAGGTATATTTGTGCTCCTTAGCCTAATACATTATTATGAACATGTTGGTAACGGTACTGCCGCCAATTAGCAAAAGTAGATAACATCTCATGCACCAATGGATACTAACTACAAGTAGCTGAGTAAACCTACCAATCCTCAAAAGTTTTGCTATAAATCATTTACTATCTAGTATACATGAGATAATAAAGCATGTTTAATGACCAAAGTAGGATTGGAATTTATCACTGTAAGATATGGGAGGACTGAAGAAAATCAGATTAAGTTTTAGGTACCATACTTTCATGTGATATGATATGGTGGGATAGGATATGTATTTTGCTATGCTTGAAAGAATGGTAAGATAAAGTAGGAGAAGGTGGTCCGACAAATTTTTGAACATTAGCCAAGTAAAATAAACCCTCAACTTTTTCACATTAGAATCTTCAATTTTTCCCCAACATCAGGAATTGTAATCCTCTAGAGAGTATGGATTGAGAAATTCCACAGGAGGATTGATCACTCCCATACCCTCTTTGTCAAATGGGGTTTGGGCCATTAATTTTAAGATTAGCCTAGCATTGCACTAAATGCCAGATTACCAGTCTGGCACTAACCCCCAATCAAACATGCCCTTAGAGTAAGTACGCCCTCCTCATAACTTTCTTGCTAACTGGACTACCTGCATGGTGACAATAAAGTTTTCAAATAAAATAAAATAAAATCCAATAATTTTCATCATTTTCAAGAAAACAAATATTCCATTTTGTTTTTCCATTCTAAGAAAACTGGCAACAAATGAGAAGCATTTCTCCTTAATGATATGGGGAAGGATCATTTTGGGGTAGAGATACAACAAGCTCCTAAACAACCATCTATTATGGGAATAAGGGTAATCAAAATGCATATAGGAGGAGCAAATAACAAAAATTTAAGAGAGAAATCAAATCAGAATTATACCCTTTATAAGCTGTTCAATGGGTGCATTTCTCAACAAAAATGATGTTGCCTCTGCCATAAATTCTTGAATGTAATCCTTGGAATAGTATCGTAGTTTTATTGTCACCCTTCAAAGACAGATATCATGCGTTAGCAACGTAAAACAAATGCACATTATTGACAACCCCCTCTCCAAATAGCAACATGAAAGATAATGTTATAACATACACATTAAACTTGAACTTTTAGAAATCCTTGTCATAAAATCTTGATTATTCAGGTAATTCCTATCCATTAAATTGGAAATATCAACACCTAATTACTTTGGCAATTATAATTTAATGTTAAATAATTATTTTCCAAAGTGTTTAACATAAGAAATGCACATTACCAATCATCTTATTTGACTGCTGATATGGAATTAAATGAAAATGGAATTCCCATTCCTCTTGTTATATTGTGGGTGAAATAAGAATGAAAAAGAAATCGTGTGTAACATATATTAAACTACAAGTCCAAAATTACATGATATTTTGTTGGATAATATTATTATTAAATTATATAACCTTACATATTAATATACACTATCATACTGTCCAATGTTCACTGTTTTAACTAATCAAAATTAGAGAGAAATCACAAAGCTTAAAGGAAGATGACGTAAATAGAGAAGAAGCTGGCAGATGGTATGGTCAGTTTGGGTAATAAATTTAGGACAGAAAGAATAAGATGAAATTCTGGGGACCCTGGAAGAGAGTCGTCAGAAGCTGACAGGGGTGATTGGTCATGGGGGCAGCAGTAGACTGATATTGGCACTAAGCAATAGTGGCTGTTGACAAAGGACGGAAGTGAATAGGTCAATGTGGTAATGGAACTCCCTACCAATTGGTGGAAATGGTTAGTCCAACATTTTGTTGAAATTGGGCACTTCATAAGAATGACCACCCTACAGAAAACATTCAAATCTGAAAATGATGAGCCAAACAAAAGAACAGCTATATCCCAGTCCTTCATAGTGTCAGGAATTTTCAGCATTTGTTTTAGAAAAGGAATTCTTAATAAATGCATTATATTCCCTAAAAAAAACCCCGATGGAATTGGAAGGTTTAACTTTAGGCCTTTGCTTTGGAAAACGAATTTGTAATAAATGCATTATATTCCCTGAAAAAGAAAAAACTGTTGGAATGTTTAATTTCAGCCTTTATTTTGGAAACAGAATTCTTCAAAAATGCATTCCTTAAAAAGCCCTAGACTCTAGGCTAATTACATTCTATTCAAAAAGAAAGAATTGCTGGCAATCATAAGAAGGAATGTCTAATTAATGCTAGAAAATCAGTCATTAACTATGTTTGCTGATTTATACTCACAAATTGAGTCAAATAATTCAAAAATGGACAAAGTGAAATCAGGATGCTGCAAATAGCAATTTGCATCAAGAACGCACCATGAATTGGGTTGCTTGACTCAGATCGAAATTCCCTAGGGGATAGGGTGAATCAAGTAACTATGTATACAATACAATATTGACATTAGGATACAAAAGACTAATTATTTTCTAACCTTTTCAGCAATTTTTATGTTTCCCCAAAGAAATGTACAACACTTCTGCATGTAGTCTGAAATAATTAACACATTTTTCATTTTGCAGCTAAACATCAAATTGAAATGACATTGACTCACCTGAGAATGTGAACTACATCCCGTACAAGATATTTCTGCAGATACATCATGATAGATGACCATGAAGTAAAAATCTGAATCAAATTCAACACTGTTAGTACCACAAACAATAAAAAAGCTAACAGAGAATGAAATAAACAACCTGAAAATATCTAAAGAGAGTTCCAGATAAGACCTGCTCAATTATCTCAGGTTCTCTATCAGCCCCACTTTTGAGAAGAGATACCAGAGAACCAGCTACCCTCTGCAGAAAGCTGGCAAAATTTTCAAGAGCACAAGAACATGTTATACAAGGAGAAAGTCACATCCAATCCAACATTTCAAAAAGCAAAAACTCTAGAGCTACACATAAAAATACTTCTGACTTAAAAAATTTTACATGTGATATCAAAGGAGACAATTTCCTGAACCAGAAACAGTTAAATCTACATCATCAACTAAGAGTATACCCTAAATATACAGAAATAAATAAAATGCTTAAATAGACCTAATGATATGATCAAGCCAAGTAAATCAGGAACTCACGGGAGAAAATCCTCCAGAAGATCTCTGGATAAAGCTGCAAGCAACCTGTACAACGAAACCCCAATTTTAGAGGAAAGGGAAAAACATTGCAACCAAAGATTCTATTGAACGGAGCAAGCATAAATGTTTTAGTATTGTTCAACATCAATTATATGATTACAAGGAAAAATTTAAAATTATAACAAAAACAAAAAAAAAAAATTTGATGCAAATTCAAGACATTAGGGAAAAATAGTCCTTCTATTATACCTTTTCTCCAGCTGTAAGCCAAATCATTCAACAGAGGTTTTTGGTGAACAATATGTTTTATAGGCCTCATCTGGCAACTACTCTATCCAGTGTTTTATCTTTATATTTTCAATATTTTATAGACTGATGACAACCACATGTTCAGTATTCTGTTTATATTTTTAAATATTTGGCATACTTTAAGTACTCAATATTTTTGAAAGCATACAATTTCAGTTTACATATTTTTGTTATATTTGTCTACACATATCCTCAGCCCCGTTGCCCCCCTAAGCATTTTTTTTCTTAAAATTAGAAAATATAATTTTTTCAACTTTTGTAAACATAAATTAAAACACATGAGCATTACTAAATGCAACCTGCAAACAATTTTTCCTTCTTGATTCCATAGTTCGCTCTAAAAGAAAGCAGGTGACAAAGATAAATGAAACTATGAGGTTGTCAACATAAGATCCAATTAAGCTTTCCACTTTGTAGGATAAATAGCAAAGCAGTATGACAAATGCTGGGGTTAAAGCACATCACAATTGAATCCTAAAAAATAATAACCCAACAAGAATGATATATGACATAAGGAAAAATATTAAGTCATCAAAAGTCATTTTACACACTGATAAGTATAATGCTTCAAAATCAATTAGTTTTATTAGTTCAGAACATTACAAGAATAATTCATATTCATAATAGCTTCAATGCAGAAAATGTGAGCACACAAATGTTATAGTAATTGCTTCCACTATCACAGTTCCTTCATTTAAAAAGGCAACTAGAGTGTTAACATGCAAAGAAATAGACTGTGATAAGAATAATAAAGAACAAACAAATTATCAAATAGATTTGTTTGAAGCTGTTCAAAGATGGTCAAACCATAAATTTCAACACACAGGCCATGACTTTTTGCATTACCTTAGTATAGGCTCAAGAGAAAGTCTCCCTTTCATTTGCAGTCGAGAGAGTAGTTCTGAAAGTATCAATTCTTTGTGCAAAATTATTTGTGGTAATGTTTGCACAAATGGCATCATTTGCTCATAGAAGGTTATAAAATCCTCTGCAGTGTTTAATTCCTAAATTGCCAAGTAAAAAGAAAATACACGATTAGAACTTGCACAGGACATAAACAGCATTAAAACTGTGAAACCTAGGTAGAAAAATAACAAAAACAAACACATCAAGTTTAAGGAATTTAACAGATGAATATCAACTCAACCATTATGGTTTTAAACAAGGAAAAGACTCCTTCAATGTGCCCACAGGCCAACATAATATGGCAGTATCTAAGAATGGCTGTCCTTGTAGATCTGTAATACCAAAAGTCTATTCCCCCATTCAAGGAGAAGAAAACGGAAATTTCCAGGTCCCTTATGACCTATCCAAAGAATTCTTAAAACCAATAGCCAAGTCGTTAGGGAACCTTTTTACCTCGAACAAAAGGGAAAAAATCTTAGATAATACACACAGAAACATACACCTTTCACCTCAGTTTATTCCAATCCCGGTTTTTCTTCAATCCCTTTTACATTAAATAAATAGACCTCAACTCCATTGACAGGGCCAGGTAGAAAATAAACAGAACAGAGAGTTAAATTGCTCAAGTTTAATCTAAATTTCTTATCAGAAGCAACTAAAATAAAAATATTTCATACACGAACAAAATTTCAGTTGCACTGAACATCCACATCCACCCAGCCTCCTTTATTTTCATCCCCGCTCACAATTATTAAGAGAATTCAATATATACCAGTTTTCATCAAAACCATTTATATGTTCTTTCTACCACCTCTGACCACTTTAACAGCAGCAACCCAAAAAATAGAGCACATTATTCCCAGAAGCACCACCAAGTCCCACTGAGAACAATAATAGCTTGCAGTTAATCAGACAGACAGACAGACAGACAGGCAGACAGACAGAGAACACCGCGTACCCTCCATTCCACAAGGCAGTCCCGGAAAAATGAGGAGCCTTCGGATGGCTCAGATTTGAGAGGATCGAGACTACGGAAGACATCAATGTCAATTTCCTCAATGCGCTGACAAAATGTCTTGAACTGCACACAAAACAAGAAACCAAGCATTTCAACGCCACATAACAATTCTCAGAAGACAAAGAAAGAACCAAACCGTAATATGTAGCAACTAGATAGTTCTGCAACTTCGCCGTTTTGTTGCTAAAAAACACAGCAAAACCAGAAATCAAAAAGGATAAAAAAAAAAAGGTCAATTATCTGAGAGAGATTACCACAAAGCGCCTCCGACCCGGAGACTTATTCAGTGACTTCACCGCTTGAGCATCTGCTGCCGTCGCCATTCTAAATATATATTCGTTATATATATGTCTCCGTATTTATGAGATTAACAGAGAGAGAGAAGAGGGTATACAACCGCTGAAGAAGGCGCTCTTTGCCCCTCTCTCTCTCCGGCGGGGAGAAGGGAGGTCAGGTTTCACGGGGTTATACAACTGAATCCAGGGGTTTAAGAAGTCCTTTCTGTTCTCTCCGAGTCGCGCGAGAGGAGTAAGGTCGGTTATAGACAATCGTAGGCCGGTGGCCCGGTGTCCGGCGGGAGCACAATCCGGTCCAGTTAATGTCCATCCCCGGCCTGTCCAAGCCCCATAGAAACCATCCCCGGCCTGCCGAAGCCCAACAAACTCGATCTGCCCCATGCTTACCCGACACTAAAGCCCAGTGGACACAAATTCGAATGTCGGGTGGGGTTTGGGAATTGAGTTTAATCGAGTTGTGAAGGGATTAGATTTGGATGAATATATCAAATCTAAATTTACGTGAGGTTGTTTAATTTTATATTTAAATTTAATTTAAATTTTTAAAAATTAAAAATTTAATAAAAAATAATATTTTTATACTAAAGTCTGTTAATTTTATTTTATCAATAATATTGATTTTCTATATTTTTTTATTTTTTTAATATTATATTTACAAATTCATATTTATTAATATCTATATATAATATTATTAATTTAATTAAAAATATCATCAAAATTTAAATTCAAATATTTAATGAATCAAATTATTTAATTTAATATTTTATGTATTTATTTCAAATTACATATATTTATAATCAGATTTGATTTATTGAATATTTTAATCAAATTCAAATATTAAAATTTAGATTAAGTTTATGACAAATTTATATTAAATTTTAACTAAATGGCAACTCCATATTTGAGACGATGAAACCAGCTGTGTAATGAAGGAGATAAAAATTATATATGTAAAAAAAATAAATAATATGTTGCTTTATGGTCTATGTATATAAATGATGTTAAAAATAAAAGATGGTTTTTTCACAGGCTTTCTTACGATATTTGGTTATAAATTATTGAAGTTTGAATATATGGGATATTGTATTATTGGGATAAAATGAAAATAAAACCAGATTTAAAGGGATGTTGGCTAAAGGAATCACCAAAATGATATAAAAATATATATAGTTCATTTTTAGGTTATTTTAGGCGAATGTTACAGTCTATTTTGAGGAGAAGTAGGCACAAATACAAAGTGGACTGTACTGGATTCCCCAAATAAATTCTAAATTCTAAAATTCATAGAACCAATTCAAACAATTTGCAATTTTACATCAGGTTTTTAAAAACTTTTACTTTTTTTGAAGTGTAAAATATGAGAATTTAGCAAAATTAACGCCCATTTTAATCTACATTACGCTTGGAGACGGGCGTTGAGTGCAGTTCTATAGAGGTTAAAATGATCCTGGTAAATCTTTTTCCTAATTGAATTCCGGTCCTGGCGTGTGGGCGGAAAGGGAAGCAGACCATGAGGCCAAACAGGGGAGCGAGGAGGAACAGCAACTCATCTTCGACAAGGGAGCGACCCCCGGGCTCGTATGCGTTCGAACAAGTAGCATCTCCATCTGGGTCTCGCCCTTCGAGGCTCTCTCCCTCTGGAGTTTCAGTTCTGGACCGCGAGCTCGTGACCGAAGAAGACCTCACTTTGTTCGATAACCTGCAAATCTCCTCTCCAGACCCTAACCCCAGGAGCTTCCCTTACAGTGTGAAGCAGCAATGCTGGAACAATGCTGAGAAAGTCAAAGGTCGAGACCCCGATCGTTGGCGTCGAGACGCTCTGGGCAACATCGTCTTCCGGAAGCTCGTGGGATGCCCTGGCTGCCTCTGTCACGACTATGACCACATTATTCCTTATTCAAAGGTACTAAATTGTTTCATCTCTCCTCTTAGTGTATTTTCCCCGGGGCTTGAGTTTGGTGCTAGTTGTGCTATTATTAGCGCTTTTCTATTCATTGCTATGTGGGTGTGGCTCCTTTTCCTCTACCGTGATTGGTACCTGAGAGTTTGCAAATTGGGCTGGTTTTGGATTTGGATTTTATATTTGTGAGTTAAATTGATTTACATTTCTGGTTTCTGTTATCGTGCTTCCGTGATTCCTAAATTGTCTGCGGCCTTAATGCATTCTACTTTAGATTGTTCAGTCGAGTTGGCTGCAATTTAATTGTTTTTTTGGTACATTGAAGGCCTAAATCCTGGGGAAGGGGGTGGCGGGAGTCTAACTTTGTCGCCATTTTTTTACAACGTTGGCTAATCCTGGGTTCAGCTGCCTGCAATTTATGAGTTCTAGTTTTTGTGGTTGCCAGGTTTACCTATGTCATTACTTATGTACATTTTGTCATCTGCCGTCCAACCACGAGGATTTTTTTTTTTTGGAGGGGGGCGAGGGTATACAACCCTACCTTTGCTTTGTTTCCGCAACTCCACGCTGTGACCTTCTGATGATAAAAAGGAGTAAGGACGCGAGTTGATTGATTTGGATGGTGTGGAGAGGGACTGGTGAAACTTGTGAAAATTGACATCTAAAAGGAAACACGAGAAGAAATAAGCCGAAAAAATAATAAAAAAGAAGTTTTATAAGGAAAGATCTTCCAAAGGCCTTGTTTGTTTCTGGCAAGCTGCTTCATTTTTGAACTTTTCATGCAGCTTTCTCATAAATCTGATGTGGTCGATTTTCAATTTTTTGGCAGTTTTGAAGCTCTCTTCTTGCACGTACCAACAACCAAAATTTTAAGAAAACCTTTTCTAATTTAGGGTGAGCTCTTACTTCTTTAAATACCAAATAAGGCATTCAGCTGGTGGAGGTTGACAAAGCTATTCCAATTTCTGATCTCTTGCTTTTAAAGTGAGAAAATTGGAGCACCACTGGTGCTGACTGTGCAACCATTTGAAGCTTGTGTTGCAAATTACCAAATGTCACAGAGAGAGAGAGAGAGGTGATTCATGGTTCATCAGTTGCTCACATTGACATACAAAGATTTGGCCTTCTTGCTATCTACCTTGTGTATGTGGTTTATTACATTGCTTTATGAGGGTTAGATCTGAAATGGTGCTTCAGTAGTTTGTTGGATTGAAGAGAGAGAAAGAAGTCAAGCGTAATGTTAAGTTATTTTGTAATTGGCCTTCACAGTTGACTTTTGAAAAAGGTTATAAAAAATAAAAAAATAAAAAAAACTTGGCCTATCCAAACTGAACCCACTTTTTATTGAGCTAGATAAGTTTGAGAATTTCATCCTAGACCAATTTGGTTTGGCCTTAGAAAACCTGCACCAACTGCACTTGCACAAGGGATTAATCTTACTATTGATCAATAACTCATTTTCATGTATACTTACAATTTTATATTGACAAATACAATGTGAACTCTTAATGGGAACTGTTGGCAGTGACTACTACACATGAACTATCAACTTCTTATGTTTGAAATACTAAGTAGCAGTCATGGTATGTGTTCCTCAATGTGATGATTGACCAAGCTTCTTGACATGCTTCAATGGGCTGAGCTGATGGAGTGGTTATCATCTGTGAATTTTCTTTTATTTTTGAAACTTTTCTGTGAATATGAGGAACTTTTACTGTGATGATAATATTGATTTTGTCTATCTATTTGATGTTACGCTTTTGGAAATATTTTCATTTACCAATTTGTTTTCCAGAGACATTCTTTTCCTATCAAATTGGTTGATTTTGTTATGTGATTTTTAGCTTTGAAAATAAGGGAAGGAACAATTTTCTTTAAATTGAAAAAAAGAAAGAATGAACAAAAAACTAGATTCAACTCGAGCACTTATCCTAAATGTTCTCCCATGTATTTCTCAATTATCTTTATTGGTTTCCCCCGTGGTGAGAGATTGATTTATTGTTGGAAGGTGTTGTGTTCCAATGATGGTGCTTCTTTGTTTTCTATATTTCCTCCTCGTGTCGTGCTAGTTAGTTGTCCCTTTACTGGAATTAATTTAACTTACTTCTCATTGTTTTGTATGATTATATGTTTTCAAGGTGGTTATAGTGCATATGATATCCAATTGTTAATATGTTTAAACTTGATATCTTTCTCCAATGCTGAACTTATCTTGGAGCTTAATTTTAGTTGTCTGGAACGTCTGCTTGAGTAGGTAATCTGAATATTTGCAGGGGGGGAAGAGCACATTGGAAAACTGCCAAGTTTTACAGGTTAGATATTTTTTCCTTCTATGATTATTGCAATTTGTGGCATCTGGTTTGTCTGTGGTTCTTCATTGCATGGTTCCTGTTTTGCCTTTTATCTATCACTAGGAAATGAGCACATGCATATTGCACAGGCAAGTCTACATGTTACATAGTTGTACATAATTATAGATTAACTAGATTAGTTTTTGTTGTAGTGATAGTCTAATATTAAATTTATATGCAAATTACAATCTGCTGTGTCTGTTTGGATATGAATCTCTTGTACATTAAGGTGTTAACAGATAGCTTGCTGGTAGTTCATGCACTAACAGTTTACCTGTTTTTTTAGGCACTAATATTATCAAGGAAATTAGACCCTAGCTCAGTCTGGGTTGACCTTATATTCAGTTTGGTTGTTTAATGAGAACAAAACAAAAGATAAAAAAAAGTTAAAAGCAGATAAATTTTTTGGAGGAAATTTGTCATTCAGCATTCCTCTTTTAATAGTATGGATGTAATATCTGTATGGATAAACTGCAAAGGGCATTGCTTGCTTATATAGAATTGCATATACACCTATACTAGAGATTTTTATTTTTTTTTAAGAAAAGTTGTTTATTTGTTTATTTGTTTATTTATTTCAATAATGAGATATTGAAGGGAGCGAAGACTACCATGCTACAGATGATAAATGAAACTATAGAGTGAAAATTACCAATGAAGTTGTATATAAATTATATATTGACCATGGGAGTGACTCTCTCTTACTGGCTTGGTTATTGCTAAATACCTTTAATGGGTGGAACTTGGAAGAAGTTGCTCTATTTTTCCATGTAAGTTGGATGGATAAGCCTGGGTTCTAGCAGAGACCTCTTTTTTGCATTTGTTGCAACAAGTGTGGGATAGAGAGAGAGGAAGGATTAGCTGTTCTTTTCTGCTTCTTAGAATGGAAGAGAGAGGGGCTACCACTAGTTCAAGAGAGGGAGAGGGAGAGTTCTCTCTCCTTGATTGCCAAATCTTGTTTCTTTTAAAATATTTTTTGAACTTCCCAAGATAAATATTGAAGGATTATTGCAAAAGGACAGAGAATACTTTTATTATAAATAAAAGATTTATTTTATAGATAAGTTAAAATAAAAATCTAAAAATTAACAAAATGCATAATAGGTGATGAATTAAGAATTTGCTAGGCTTTGTTTTGTATTATATTATATAGATTAAGATAATATTGTCAAACTTTTAGCATAAACTACTTTCACTAATGTCTTTTTCCGAAAGGAGATATAATAATTTACTATAAATGAAATACTTATTTTATAGATAAGTTAGAATAAAAATTCTAAAAATTAAGAAAATGCATAATAGGTGATGAATTAAGAATTTGTCAGGCTTTGTTTTATATATATTATATAGTTTAAGATAATATTATCAAACTTTTAGTGTAAACTACTTTGACTAATGGTTTTTGTTCCAACATCTTGGGGAAGGAGGAAAGGGAGGGGAAGGGGGCAGGGGGTATTAATAAAGGGTAATAGAAAGGACTATTAATGTGCATGGTCTTCCCAAATTCTCCTATCTAGGGATGGCAAGACTTGACCAACCTACACCTAACAGAGATATGCCTTACCTGGCCTAACTCAGCCAAGCTGAGCTTGACATATTAATATTTTGGATAAAAAAATTCCCTTTTCTCCAAATTTGCTTAAATGACACTTAACCCCCTTCTTATCATGAAAAAACACTTTTCCCCTTTGACTAACTGTTGACTAATAGATATTTAACGGTTTTGTTAAAAAAAAGATGTGAGGGTAACCCAATCTCACATACTTTAATTACCCATCTAATTAAATATTAAAATATTATTTTATTCATCTAAAATTATTTTTAAAAATTATTATTTTTAATCTAAAAATAAAAAATCACATTTTTAATTATTTAATTTCATTATTTTTAAATTTTTAAATAAGTTTTATTTTATTTTTTAAATTACACTCAGCAATTTTTTTAACTTAAATGACACTTAGCCATTCTTACTTCAACATTTAAATAAACATAAAAATAAATATATTTAAAAATTAAAAATAATAAAATTAAATTATCGAAGTTAGATTTTTTTAATTAAAATAATAAATTAAAAAAAATTCAAGTGAATCAAATAATATTTTAATTTTTAATCAAATTGGTTACCAAGTATGTGAAATTGGGTTACTTTCTCATCTTTTTTAATTTAACAAAACGTTTAAACAACCGTTAGTCAACAATTAGTTAAACGGGGAAAGTTTTTTTTTATGATGAAAATTGGGCTAAATGTCATTTAAGCAAACCTAGAGAGAGGAGAGTGTTTTTTACCCAAATAATTTTAATAATATATTTAATAGTGGTATATCATTTTATCATAATAATAATTAAAAATAATAAAATATTTATTAATAATATCATTTTTGTATGTATTGCATGGATTTGTAAGTTTATAATAAGAAAAAAAATGTTCCAACTATTACTTAAGTTAAGCCCCACCCAAATTTTTTTAGCCTAAGCCCAAACCTAATCCTACTTACAATGGCCTAGCCTAGGCCTTGCAAAACCTGAGCCCAACTTGGTCCATTGGCTATGTCTATTCCTATCTAACTTTATAATGTTTAATAACAACATTGAAATTCGGAAGGCAAAGTGTAGATAAGTTGATATTACAAATAAAAAAGACAATCAAGAAGGGAAAAAGAGGATAAATTAAGAAGGTGCAAACGTGGCGCTATTTGATCTTACAATGCATTATATTTTGTATATATTATGTGGATTTCATTCCCTTCCCTTCCTGCAGTTGCTTAATGTGTTCTCTTAGCATCTAAAGATGACTTTTTGTGTTTTTGCTTGTTGGGACATCTTGTCACTATTTTGTCCCCACCCCCACAAGCAAGAGAGACAAATGTTGGGTATGTGTTTGGGGCCTCACCTCAAGGGGTGAGCAACACTTATTGAACATGACCTTCAAATTGCACCTGCTTGGCAGGGGACTAATCAAGTGTGGGTCTACCCAAGTCTTCTGTCCTTGTGCAAAGCCTTAGAGATGAGGGTAACATGTTTTGCAAAATAAGATTGAATAGGCCCAGGCTTGAGCACCTTGTAACAATGGTGTTCAACTTTACCATTGTTGACTGTCTAAGATAGGCACTTTCCCGGTCACTCTTGTGAATGCCTTTCTCACATGTTAAACCACTTTCCAGTGCTCATTCTGAGGTCGGGTACTGATCAGTGCCTTGTGTCTCTATGCAGCCATTGTACAATCAATTTTCTCGCCTTACCAAGAGCACCCAGAATGCACAAAGCAAAACACTTGATCAAGCTAACATACTTGTCGAGCATACCTGGAGCAACTTTGAGCACCTATTGGTTGCTATATCTGGAGCTTGACTTGATCAACCTTGATCATGCCTCACCTCCTGTGCCCATGGGTAAGTTCAATGGTATTATCATCAGTGCTATACTTCGGGCCATCCCTAATTCTCGTGCATCTGATTGAGTATAGGGACATCAACCCACTTTGTCCTCAAAATCTCTTAAGACCTGATATCCTCCTTACAGTACACACCAAAGACCCAGGAAATTTCATTGCAGCAATTCATATCTATACAAAGATAGCGAGAATCAAACAATGTAAAGTCCCATTTGGGTGGGCTGTTTTCATAAGTGCTTTTTTAGAAGTACTTCTTTTAAAAGTGATTTTTTTAAAAGTATTTTTAAGAAATGCTTTAGTTGTTTGGATGCAAAAAAATAAAAGTGCTTTTTTGTCTTTGTAAAATTACCAAGAAGGATGTATTTTTTGTCCCCTCCTTGCATCTCATCTTTCTATCTAGGTTTTACAGGTTAAACTAAAAAAAAAAATCGAAAATGGAGAGAAACAAATGAGAGAGCAATCGGTGAAAATCGACAGCAATCAGTAAGGAGAATCGAATTTTGCGGGAGAAACCAAAGAAAAAACGGAGAGAGAGAGCAGAGAGAATTGATTGGTGAGGATGGCGCTCTGCAATTGAAGAATGGCCGAGATGAAGGTAGTGTGGTTGAAGGCTCTACGATCAAAGGATGGGGTGTGGCAATCTATGAGGAGAATGAGGCGATCTGTAAGGAGAACGAAGGCGATCGATGGTGGGTAGAGAAAGAAAAGGATGGCGACATGTAGAAAAGGAGAACAAAGGTGATCGACGAGCTCTGATGGAGGAGAGACAAGGAATAGTAACGCAAATCTAGGTTACAAGCTCGGTGGTGTGGACGGGGAGGAAGAAGAACAATTTTGGCTCAATTAAGGGCAAGGGTTGTCATTTGGGAAATTTTAAAGGGACATTTTGGTCAAAGGCAAAATTTCCAAGTTTTTGAAGGCCTTCTCTCTCTTCTACCTCACGGGATTTTGGGAGAAGCTGATCCAATCAGCTTCTCCCAAAGTCTAAAAAATGGCTTTTCTTTTGCGCTTCTGCTTCTATTAAAATCCTATCCAAACAGGCTTATTTTTTTAAAAAATACTTTTTTATTAAAAAATGTGCTTTTTTGACCCAAAAAAAAAGAGCTTACCCAAACACACCCTAAGATTAAATGATGTAGAATGCGTGGAAGGATACCAAATATTAGGAAATTAGGGTTTTTTATGATTGATATCCATTAGAATTTATTTGTTTTGAGATTTTTATTTCTTAAGAAATTTGAATTATGATATATTTTAGTTATATATTGTAGTTATAGGAAGTACAATTGTTTTAGGATTTTTTCTTAAACTAGGATTTATCTTTAATATTTGAGACCTTTAAAGGTTCTACCACATTTGGTTTTGTATGTTCATAATTTGTTTCATTATAGTGTACGAATAGAGAATGGAATGTCAAGTTTATATGAGTTGTCGTGCTTGTGGAAATCGGTTGTCCATTTTGAGGGTAATTTTTTCCATCCTTTCCGTCATTATCATCATCATATTCTTGTTCTTCTTTTTCTTCTTACTTGTGATGCAGAATATGAAAGAGGCCTAATTTCAAGAATCTAGGGTTTTACAGTATTTTACTGTTTTCAGAATTTTATTCATATTGGAAATTTAACGTTTTAGTGTTTTATTAGTTTTTGAAGAGTTTAATTAGCTCAGGATTTCTTTCTAATTCTTGTTGTCTGTGGAGTTTTTTTGATTCCAAGGTATAGGAGGATTAGGATTGCTTCTGCAATATATTTGTAATTCGATTTCTTCATCAATCAGTCTAACATATTTTTACAAGTTGGTGAACTCGTGTAGGTGATCTCTTGCTAGGATAGCCTTCTCCTTCTTCCCCCTCTCCGTTTCCATCCACTCCTTTCTCTCACGCCACTCTGTGTTCAAGAGCACTAAAAGATGATGCTCACAAGGCCAAATTGTTCCTCAGGGGCTTAGCTAATCCTCCTCTTACAAAGACGGACTCAAAACAAGCTGCACACACACTTGACATGGTTATTATAGGTAAAAGGTTCACATTTCTTTTTTTATGTGCCTTTTGTCAATGGTAAAGAATGACTTACTTTTAGGCTCGTTCAAATTGTAAACCACTTGCATTCAAAATACCTGGACTGTTATGTCTGGTCTTAATACCTTAGTATGTGTGACATGTTTGTGATGTATGTTAGGTAGTTTTTGTAGGCTCTGAGGAAAAGGTCTCTTATTTGATGTTATGACCTAGTAGATTTTGAAAGGGAGATATCTTAGCTTAAGGTTAACTTTACAAACAACAATACTATGTTAGTAGGCAATTTTAAGATCCTTCTGTGAAGCAGAGGACATTAACCTACTAATTATCTGGCTTTGGCTGTCCAAAGGATTGCCCGACTTTCTTCATTTACTGTAATAAACACAGCCTCCAATACACTTATGCTATCTACTGTAGCAAGGGCAATCTTATGCCATGCTCTGGAGATTCTAAATTTTGTCAATCCTGATGACTATTTGATTAACAAAGCCAACTTCCTCAGAACGAGGATTAATAAAGCCAACATCCTTATAATGACCTTGTCAGATTTTTCTAAGACCTGTTTGGATTTGTATTCATCTTATCTGTTTCAATTTCTATGTTATTGGATATAGTAAAACACCGAAAATATTAAACACTATTGTTTTCATATCATTTTCATTTTTGAGCAAAAATAGTTTCTAAAAATTATGGAAGCAACTTTTGTTGTTTTCTGAGTTGGAGTTTGTTTACTGAAAACTTTCCTCAAATGGATTTGAAAGCCACTTGGCAATTATTGGTGTGATTTTTTTCAAAACCAGATACAATTTTCGAAATCACATCAAGACAGGAGCTCTCTCTCTCTCTCTCTCACACACACACACAGGCCACATTTTAATTTGAAGTGAATTGTGTTCCACTGGGCTATTCTTTGCTGCAGGCAACTGTTAATCGAGCCAAGGGAAATCGGACTGAGATATCCAGAGCGGATCTTATTCAAAAGAGCTCATACTGCAGAGTTTCAGGTATTTATCTGGTCTGATCTAATGTGCTAAGTTTAATCCTTTTATAAGCTCTAATACTATTGCATTGTGGCCGGTAAAATACTTTTGACGCAAGCGCAGGTCGTGACATGGATCTCCTTGAATTGTCGGCCTATGGCAATGTTCGCCGAGGACCAGACTCTGGCGGATGTAATATTCAGTGATTGTCTGGAGGATGGTAAAAATGTTCCCAAATTAAAAAAATTTGTTCCTTGGTTGTCTGCATTTAGCCGGAAGCCGCCTAGTGTAACGCTTCATGAAATTTGTGTTGCCATAACTAAGTGAAAATACAATATGCTTGTAATGATACATATGTTTCGGTTGACTTGTAATAGTCCATGTGGACTCTCTGGGTGGCAATCAACGCTATGCTCAGCATTTTTTCTTTAAAGAATCGCATTGTGCTGCACTCCAGAGGGAAATTAAAGGCCTGTTTGGTTTGTAAAAATGTTTTCTATTTTCATTCTCTATTTCTATTCTCAGAAAATAGTTTTTAGTTTTAGATTTTTAAATTTTAGAAAACGCTTTTGGTTTGTTTGCAGTTTTCAATTTTCAAAATATGAAAACAAAGAAAATATATTTGGTTTACCTATTTATATTAAATTAAAAACAAGGTTTTAATTAAATGAAATTAGAATTTTTGAGTTTTTGATAAGGGTTTAAATGAAAAAATTAAAAGTTTTGGAGTTTGAAACCAATGGATGACAGAAGATTTTAGGGATTACAATGAAAATTAGGGACAACTGAGGGATCAAATTGCAAATAGAACATAGTTACTGTTTTATCATCTTTCTCAAATTCATTCAGCCAATGTATAGCCACTCGAAAATCTATTATATTGAAGACTTTAACTCAAACAAAATTTCTTAAAACATGTTTAAACATGTTTATAGAACCAAAATTCTAAAATAATTTAACTATTCTCGTCTCTCCTTACTCTTTAAAACAATTACATAGTCAATCTATTTCTCTATTGGACTCGTCGTCATTGCTACAATCTCACTCGATCATCATTGCCGGTCATTGATTGAGACAACCATTTGATTGAAGCCGTTGATCATCAAGATCTTGTTAATCATACTAGCATTTAGGGCTGCACTACTAGGGAGGAAAATTGAGAATGCCAATGCAACATTATAACCTAACTTTTGTGATTTTGAATAACAAGCACCAGCAATTGATGAGTATTAGTGGGTGATAAGTATCGGCAGTGAGGTTAAAGAGCAACTTCTTTGCCAGCAACAACTACCAAAGAGGAACAATAGCATGAAATGAATATGAAAAGAAAATATACTAAAAATGAACTTATTTACAAGACGACGACCATGTTTTCGGTTTGAGGCAAGAAATACCGAAAATAACCTTTGATCATTTTTAATTTTCAGCCTATTTTAAAAAATATTTTTAGAAAATGAAAATAAAAAAACAGTTTACCAAACACATTTTTAACACTATTTTCTATTTTTATTGAAAATAAAAAAAGAAAATGACCAAGCCAAATAGGTCCTAATCTTTTTTTTCCTGTGCAATATTTTTTCTTGTCCAAAAAAAAAAATATATAAGGGGGACCAAAGATTCCCCCTCCCCTGAAAAGGGTACCAAACAAATCTCCCAATAGATTAAGCCATTCTAACTTCAATCATTTTGTAAATCTTTTAATTTTGAATTGGTAGGATGGGGAGGGTAAAATGCTTCCAATACTAATCTCACACGTCCCTGCTGAAAAGTGAGTACATTCATGTGAGAGGTGAGTTTAAAGTTTAAACTTGCAATACCGCCGTCTGAAACTTTGAGTTTGGACCAGGCTTATTTATTTTAATGGGTCCAATGTCCACTGGGAGAGGGAGTCGGAGGTTGGTCATTAAAACTTTTGGGTTACCAAATGATGTAGGGTAACCTTCATTGCGCTCTTACGTTCAAAAGCTGACTTTGGGTTGAGATCAATTTTATAAAATTGGTTGAATTGCAAGGAAAGCAAGACCCTAAATGGTAGGGGATGTGATCACCAACAATGAAACGTGGTGCGTGCCACACTTCTAATTTAAACTTTTAACTCGTGATTAGGGGTTGTTCAGATTGTAATTTTTAAAAATTAAATCAAATCATAAACTTTTAAATATTTAAACAAGCTAAATTATTAGTCACCTGATTCATTTTGAAACTAGGTTTGTAAATTAAACCTATCAAATTTTTTACGAAACTCGCCATTTTTACATAATTACAGATTTGTAATGAAATTAAGTAGATTTAATAATTGAAAAGAATAGCGGTCAAAAAAATTTAATAAATTCAATAGATTAAATATTGACCTGATATCTAATAACCTGAGTAAGCTATTTTGAAAGAATCGAAAACTTGGGACACCATTAAAAAAAAAAAAAAAAAGGAAAATAGACTGTAGACTGAAATGACAAAACAAAGTGGAGGGATTAAAACCAAAGGAGAAAAAGTTGAATGATTAAACTGCAAAATCAAACATAATTTTATAATTTAGTTCGATTTAAGCAGTTTGATTTAGTGGTCAAATCATAAATTTAATCGTGAAAAAAATAAAATTTGGTTTAAACTAAATTAAACCAAATTTTAACCTATATAAAATTGAATTAAATTACAATTTCATTTAATTTTAATCGGTTTAATTTCATTTTATGAACACCCCTACTCAAGATTTACTTATTCTAAAAAAAAACTGCTTTACAATCCTTCATGTTTTGTATTGTATAAAATATTAATTTGGCCCTTTCTATTACAATATGTTATTATTTAAAAATTATTATTAAATTATTTAAACTCAATAAATTGCCAAGGTAGTAATTTTTGAGTTATTACACTTATGAGCTTATGGGTGTGTTTTTAAACTCAAAAAAAATAGAAGTAAAAACTGTTGACTTTTGAAGTTTAAAAAGTCAAATTCATGCGTTCAAGAAATAAAAATAACAAATAATTTATTGAACTCTTGGTTGAGTTCGCGAAGGGCATTGACTTTAACGCCAAAGTTCCCCAACCACTTGGCCTACTTTCATTTTTCACTCGTATTCATCTCACCTCCTCAATGCTTTGATTATTTTACTTGTTCCCTCATGTACCCACCGTAAAAGCAAGAAATTAAGAAAGTCGGGGAATTCACAGCAACTTTTTCCTCTGCCTTTTTCACTAGGAAAGTGATCGCTTCCCGTTCACACTCTGCCCTCCTTTCCGTGCCTTTTCCTTCCAAAAGCATTTTCATTTTTCCTTCTTTATTTATGAATCACTTGCATGGATTGAAGGGAAATATCTGATGTGCCTCGCTTGACCCAGTCTCACTGTACTAGTATCCAGGGCCCCCACCTAACAGATACCGATTTGGAAGTAAATTAATCTCAACCACAGAATCTAGATCAAGAAGATCGTAGGGTAGCAGGAGGGTGACCTGAGTACAGGAAAGATCAGTTGCAAATTGGTGGGCCATGACAGCCCTAGCATTTTTTTGATAAACTTACTTCTCTGCAACTCTCTCCCCCTCTCGATGTTCGCACAACCCAGGCAGGAAACCCAGCTCTCAGCTTTTCGGCTTTTGAAAGGAGTCGGATTTTTATTTATTTTTTAATAAAACTTAAAAAAAAGGCCTGGCTTTAAGAGAAAAACATTCGACAGTACTCACACCCTTGTACTAAAACCGTCAAACGGGTGATATAATACATTGATATACGTATGTAATTCAAATAGAAAAACAAAGTCTTTGAATTCCATTTGAAATCATTGGAGTTGGGTGTCAACTTACATCATCAATAGGGCTGAAAAGCCCAGAGGAGGAGCACTAAGAATAGGAAATATTAGCTTTTGAAGTGGGGTTGTTGACCTTGAGTCCCAGAGTCATAGTCATCCGACTGAAGTAAAGTCACTTTTTTAGAGCTTGTCTTACAGTGAGTGGCCATAATTGCTTGAATGCACCAAAGATAAGTGACGCAGAAGCCATTAAGCTCATGAATGCTAGAAAAAATAATAATGAATTGAGGTCAAAGTGCTCCTCCACCGAGCAGATTTGACCAATCAATTGGGCAGTTTCTGCTCCCCTCCCTACCTCCCCCCACTTTGAACCAACGGATTAACATGGAGGTAGTGGAAATCGCTTGATAAGGTATCACTGTTAGGGTTGCTGCAGCTTGCAAGACAGTCATATTTTATATAACCCAGTTGAAAATTATTCATAATAAATAATTTATTATGAGAGGATTTGACTTAATTATTCTTTTAATATATTGAGCAACTTGAATTCATGTGTAAAAATCAAATTATATATGATTTATGTCATGGGATGAGGCCTTTCTCCAGCACTCATTAGGCATGTTGCAACTTCGCCTTAGAGATTGTTTAACCAGGGCGCTCCCTCCTCTCTCTCTCTCTCTCTCTCTCTCTCTCTCTCTCTCTCTCTCTCATTTCTATGAGCAATACGAGCAGAGAATTATGAATACCAAGGATTTTTGGGGATAGATGAGACAGTATACTAATGTGGACATTCTTTCTAAAATAGTTTCTTGCTTTTAGAAACAGAAAACCTGTTTTTTTTAGGTCGTTTTGAAAATTGCTTTTTAGATTGTTTGGGAATTCTCAGGAGTTACATTTGCTTGAAAATAAAAGCGATAAAGGTGGTGTTTTCAAGATTTTTAGCGTTTTTTGTTTCTGAAAACCCAGAAAGAAAAAAATGAGAACAGAAAAAGAGGGTAGAATACAATTCCAAACGAACACATGGAGGGAGGAAGAGACCCACAAAATTAGCAGTTAGGTGGTTTGCAATTAAAGAATAATGGAAATTAAAGCTTTTAGTTGCACATACAAAAGCTTGCAAGTTAAGTACATGAAAAGGAAAAAATAAACATTATGAAAAGGGCTCATACGTGTTAATAGTTAAGACAAAATAGCACATTGGCCCCTTGAAAAGGGGAAGGGCAAAGGAGGGAAAAAAAAGAAGAAGAAGAAGAAAGCAAAAGCATGGGAGAATGACAAGAGCATTTATGGGATTTAAGCCCCATTGGGGTCCCCCCACCCCTAAAATCTTTGCAGCATAAATTGTGGTTGTCATTTGGGGTGAACATAATATCTTCAGTTTCGGTGTTGTTTGAGATGAGCCAGGTACACAAATTTAATCTGATATTGACTTTACCCACCAAGTGCAAACTTTGTATTCAAGTGGCTTTTCC